AAAGAGCCACAATGCAGCATAAAAGACCAGCTGCGAGCAGGCAGTTTCAGAGTGAGAGCCATCCTGTTCATGGAATGGTTCAGGGTGGCTGACCCAGACCCCACACTTTGGGGGGGTGTCCCACAGCAGCCATCTCAACTGTCCTATGGATGGGCCTAGCAGGGGGCGGGAAGCAGCAATTGCCTCACCCCCTGCACTCACCACGGCAGCTGGAGCTGGAACAGTGCAGCAGCCTGCTCCAACCCACCGCTCTCTCCTGGCCTGCTCCACTCATTAGGAAGTGGAATGTCCCAACCACCGCCGTGGAGAAGTGAGGCACAAAGGGCTGGGAGGGCAGTGCAATAGAACAGAGGTGAGGTGGAGTCTGCAGTGCCTAGGTGGTGTCGCCCCAGACCTCACACTCCTCCTCACCCCCACTCCAGGGACAGTCTTGTTCAGAGTTGAACTCTGAGTCAGTGAGAGAATGAGGGATTGAATCAGGAGCAGATGACAGAATTGGATACCAATGAGGAAAGACAAAGGAAAACTGCTGGAAATAAGTCAGAAAAACTGCTGCACAGATCGAGATGAAAACGAGAGTGGAACAAAGCTGGCTGACCAGGAGCAGAACAGTAAGAGTGATAAAAGAAAAATACCAAAGAATCTATAAAGCAACAGTGATTTTAAAGGGATACCAACACATTTATAAAGTAAGCTTACTAGCTTTTAATATACAATTTTTAGTGTTGTATAGTTTAACATACATATTTAATATGTACGCTTGAACTGTGCGTGTGTTTTTAAATGGTATCTCATGTAAAACTTAAAAGCAAATTTAAGATCTGCTTTCAGTGATTTATTTATACACCGGCCACTTTGTTTTGTTTAGGATTTGAGAAAACTCAATTTTAGTTACAATTACTAGTTACAGTAATAAAAAAGATTTGGTTTTGGAAAAAAATACTGACTGTGTCAATCGCTTTACTGGAAGGTTATATCTGTGTCCTTTAATGTTTCCCTAACAATGCTGGAAACTTAGACCTCGGGGAGGACAATAAAAGCAGGCAGTAAGCACATAATAGGCAGTGTCCCAAAATCCATTTGTCTGGGTAACCCTTAGAATGGCCCATGAAAGTATGTCGGGCCAGGCTTGTAGATCAGTGGACAGGCTGCGAAGGTACTACAACCTTTACTCGTTGAGGGGTTGGACTAGGATAAGACACAGAAGCTTACTGTCTCACACACCTCAGTGCAAGAGCACTGAAAAAATCCTCATGCGACTTCAAGCACAGACAATGTTACTTTTCCAAATTAAAGTTTACTAAGTTGAAAGACGAATGCTTCAGACCACAGAAGCTCCCTGGCCACTACCTGATTAATCACAATGAAAGAAATATAGAAACCACACTTTGGAGGATACAACTGTTCATGCAGAGCCCAGCAGGCACAGGGAGGCATTATTTCAAACTGCTGGTGGGAACTCTGCAATGTATACAACTGAAGTAATCAACAGCTCCTTGGAGTATGGTTGAAGGATATGCTGCTGCAGCGGATACTATGGCAGAGTCTCCTGTACGACTGGTTTCAGCAAGTCACTTAGCTGGCCTCTGTCTGCACTTGTTGCTGGCTACCAGCAGTGTCCAAGCATCATTCTGGGGCCAGAAGGGCATTATCCTGGCTGACCAGATCATCAGGTACTATCACTGGCTCCAGGCTAGGAGCAGAGCTCCAGACCAGGTCAAACTCCTCATAGAGAAGACATGATGCTAGCAAGCTGCCAGAAGTGCAATTCTGCTCTCTGGCTTTTCTGTACTCAATCCTGTGATGCTTAATTTGCTCCTGTAACTGCTCCAGTATATTTGTAATGCTGCCAACTTCTTTGCTATTTGCTGATAGAAACAGCAGTCCCCGATACTCTTGCCAAAGTCCACTGTTTTGCTGGCCTTGCACCAGAAGTTTATCAAAATCCCATTGTGCTCCATGACCATGAAGCAGCATACTTTGCAAAAGGCTTGGTCAGTCTCTACTGTAAACACCAAAGACTTTCTGACAGCGTTTTTGCACTTTGGCAGTGAGAAGATAACGGAAGAGTTAAATGCTGACTCGCCAAGTTGCTGCATTATACCAATGGAAGTTACTTTTGTATTCCTTGGGATTGATGGGAGATTCTTGAAATGGAGAAGACAAAGAAAGTTGGCCTATGAGATGATGGGATACTTTCACAGGACTGCCAGGATTTCAATTTGTGGAGGGTAAGAGCTGCAGATTTTAAAGCAGTAGGGCTCAAACCCTGGCTCCTGGCTTGACTCTGGTTCAGACTCTCCACCTTTACAGGGTCCTAAAATCCCAGATCTGAAATCAATTATGAACCCGGAATGCCACCATATGTAGACTGGATGTGTTACAAATCAGCTTTTGCAGTGTCCAACAGAAGTAGCAGGACCTCTTATATTGAATAGAAATAGATGTAAATATAGTTTCACGCCAGTAAATGGTGAGAGGATAGAAAGTGACTAGCTCTAAGACCTACTGGAAACAAGATGTTTAATGTCTGGGACTGAGGAGCCAAAAAAAATAGTCACTTGGAGAAAGATGTGGACCAAAGGGTACAGGGATCCAAGTGCCTTGTTCTTCCTAATTTCTTGTAACTAAAGCAGCTTTCTGTCTCTGGTTGCAGTTAGTACTATGGCTGTAGTTGCTGCCCAGGCACATAGTGAGAATGTAAAACTGGACAAAAAATGTGTCACAAAATTTAAATGTGGACAAAAGACAGAATCATTTGTTAAATCAGCCAGTATTGGAGGTGACTAGCGAAGTGAAAGGATTTGTCCTCTGGGATTAAAAAAGGCAACATTAAACCCACACTGAGATGCCATTCTTTATTTTTCCCCTAAATTGTGGGCTGAGATATATAAAGCATGCAACGTGATCTGAATAAAATGAAATACAAATTGTTTATATTTAATAAGATTATTTTTTACATTCCAGTAATTTACAATTGCAGGTTTTATACTATAAATATGCAAGGCTCTTTAACAATATGTAGAAAGAAATGGTTCCCTCCCCAAGGAACTTCCTATCCCACAGGCCTGATCCAAAGCCTACTGAAAGTAATGAGAAAATCCCATTGGTTCTACAGCCATGGATCAAAGGTCCAGGAAATTGACATCAACGAGTTTTAGTATTCACTTCACTGAGAGGCTGACTGGGTCTTAAGTTAGACAGCTATAGGGATGCTAGCGTAGAGCCATTTAAACAATTAACCAATAAGCCTAGGCTTAATCCAAATGACTATACACATTCTCTTCCCCCCTTGCTTCCCAGGCATGCCAGTTCCATGGAGCCACCTTATCAAGGAGGATAAGGAAGTTATCTGGTAACTATTAATTCCAAAGCACAAGAAGAAACTTCCAAGCACAAGAAGTGGCAATGAATTTGAGGTGCAAATGTGGGCAGAATCGGTCCCTCTGTCACAAGTGGGAGGTTATAAAAGGAGTCCAGGAAGAGAGAACTGGAAAGAAGTATACCTTTTAATACCTACAACAAAATTAATTAATGAACTTCGTTCATTTGCTGAGCATTGCCTAAAACTTTATGGCAGATTCAGCTGCCAAAACTTTACCGTGTGACCTCTCTAGACAGTCTACCTAGTGAACATGCCAGGACTTTCTACTGACTCTCACTTAAGTAGCTGGCACTTAATTTCATAAGGAATGGTGAGGGTTTTTTTTGTTTTGTTTCATTTTTTTTTTTTTTTTGCTCAATAGCTTCTACATATACTACGATATAAATTAAAATAAAATTCACAAGAGGAGATACAGGAAACAAAAATCATGTCTAATTACCAAAAGGCCTTATTTCTTCTTTCTTTATTCAGTGCTTCAAATCATGGGCATACATAAGAGGAAGCAAGAAGTCCCTCCCCTTCACCAATCTCAAGTGTCCCTTCAGCCTGGGGAGGAAGGAAGCAGCAGTGCAGCTGGTTGAGCTCCTCCTTCCCTCATGCCCACAGCTGCAGCCCGCTGCTTCTCCTTCCCTACTGCTGGCATCTTACACATTGCCTTTGCCTCTACTGCCGGCTCATCTCAGCTAGTGCTCTGCACACCAGGCAGCAGAGCTGGGATTCCAGAGGCAGGAAGGAAAAGCAACAGCTATAGACATGCAGGATGGAAGAGCTTAGCTGGCAGACAGCTCCCCTGCTCTGTCCTCCTTCCCCAGGCTTCAGGGATTCAGACATTGCCACTGCTAGCAGAAGCCGCTGCCTCCTTGCTGCTGGACATGCCCACTGTCCTGAGATAGGGTATATGTGTGTGGGGGGGTTAATGTATCCTTCCAAAAGCAGTGAAATTTAAATTCCTTATGCACAACCCTGGCTTTACCTGAAGACTAATTTTACTCACCTGACTAGCATATTTCTATTGTCTTCAGTAGAGTTACCCCTGAGCTAAACCAAGGCTAGGTCTTCACTACTGAACTAAATTGGTGCTGCTGCAATCGATGAAGCAGCATTGATTAACAGGTGTAGTGAAGACATGCTAAATCAATGGCAGAGTGCTCTCCCATCAATTTCCGTACTCCAACTCCCTGAGAAGAGTAAGGTAAGTCATTAGGGATACATCTTCTATCAACACATTACAATGTAGACACTGTGGTAAGTGGATCTAACTATTCTGACTTCTATTACATTATTCACATGACTAAAGTAGCATAACTTAGACTGATTTACCACTGTAGCGTAGACCTAGCCTGAGATAAGACACAGGCCCTGTGACTCTACAACACAAATGACCTATAGTGAAATCACAAGATCAGCACTTTGGCATATAAGCTCCTGCCTTAATTAGAACTTTAGGCAAGTAAATGCTTGCTAATTGGTGTTTCACAAATATATAAGAGAACCTTTGCTTCAGTGACTCGATGCCCTTGGTAGAATTTGGTCAGCCACTTACCTTCACACCCTTCCTTTAAATGTTAACAAAGCATTGCATTATTATCACTTAACCTGTTTTTTCGTGTATTACCTGTCACTAGCACAGCTACTCGTCGCAGTCCAGTCATGTTGCGGATTGACTAGGATCCCCCAGGACAGGAAGACAGAGTTTGGGGTCAAAGTGCCAACCACCAGTTGGAGCGGCTTTTGAGTCTTGGTCTTACCTATAAAAGAAAAGACAATTCTACTTCTGCTTAGTTCTTCTCTAGTTGGTGGGAGATATTTGTGTCTGGTTGAGACTAAATTCAAATGGAAGCTAGAATGAAAGAGAATGCAGCCCTTTTTCCATCCTCACTTCTCTTTAGTAATGAAAAATATTCTATTTTCAATTGAATATAGTTCTCCATATCTTCTGTACATGGAGCATTCATAATAATGAGTTTTGCCCAGTGGCATAACTGGTCATGATTTAATGTGGACAGAGTACTTTTCACCAGGACTGAAATAAAACAAAACCTTTCAAAAACTTATTTCACCGAAAATTGGTGGCAGGTCTTGAGAGTGTCTCTGTCTGGTGATGTCTGTCTCTCACCATTCAAATAACTTAACTGCTCATCTCTTACATAAAAGCTCCCATGTAGCTTTGCTCTGAACACAGTGGTGCAAACCTCCCTCTAGAGCCAATCTGTGGAGCATTCCCCTCTGGGGATGCACAATGAGGTCACCAGAGGAAGAGGAGCCTACAGCCAGATGAGTGGCCAGGCCAGCACCAAGGGAAAACATGCAGGAAGTCCCCGCTGCTCAGGGAGGGATGAGGAAATACAGTGCAACCCCACTCCCGCAGCAGCCTGCTGCTCTTTCCTTCCTCTCTTCCATGACTGCTGCGTACTACCTCTGTTCTACCTTCATACTCTCCCCCGCTGCTGCTTGCACTAGCCCAGGCACCTGACCAGCCACACAGTTCATGTATTTTAAACATTCTGGAGCATCGATGGGCAACCAAAAAATAGGGAGTGGCCCACATGAGTGGGCAACCCGTGGCCCACTGGGGTTCTACCTGCTCCCTCCCCCACACACAATCCCCGTTTTCCTCCTTCCCCCACACTGGGGTAGTGGAGCCCCGCACTTCCTAGGCCTCTTCCCTCTACTTCCCAGATTTTTTAAAGTGCACAAATTGCTTGATTTGTGCTTCTTCTCTGCTTCTCCCCCTCCCTCCCAGAGCTAGAACACCATGAATGAGCTGTTCACAGCTGGTTAAGCTCTGGGAGGGAGGAGAGGAGCAGGGCTGGAGTGCGAATTAGGCAATTTACGTGCTCCAAATGTACATGGGGGGGAAGAGTGTAGGAAGTGTGGTACTCCAGTGCCCCAGTATGCAAGTGTTGTGTGGGGAGAAGGGACAGACAGGTGGTCCATGGGCCGTAGGTGGAGCCCCACTGGGCTGCAGGTTGCCTACCACTGCACTGGAGCCTGCTGGAGTGAGAGGAACCAGGAACCCTAGTCTGCTCCACTCTGTACTAAGGATGATAAAATGCGATTAATTGACTAGTCGACGGACCTTCCATTGACTAGTCAACTAGTCGATAGGCACTTGCGCATTCCTCCTTTGAAATGTACAAGAGCCCCTGCTGGGGCTACCCCTCTGAAGTTTTTATTTATTAAAGAGCAGCCTTGCTATAATTTGAAATGGAGAAATTTTTATTAATAGAAAAATAATTTTAAATCATTCTAAGAGGTTTCTAAATCTCAAACTCAACCTTTAAATTTCTAAGTAATTATAATTTCTCTTTGAGCTCTGTAAAGTTGGACTCTGGCTTTATAAGTGGCAGACTAGCTTCACCTAATCACACCATCATTGGAGATGAAGGCTGGTATGCAGCATCACAAATGCATGAGATGATATGATCATCATAAAGATTCACTTCTTCCATGAGTCCCACAAGCACTAATTCATATCACTCCAAGAGCAGGGAAAGGGGAAAAATGTATACATTAACTCCACCTTTCCTCACTGTCATCCAATAGATTTTGTCCTTTCTGTTTGTCATTTAAGAGCAGGAAATGTCTCTAATTTGGTTTGTCAAATAAACAAAGCTTTTTCAACAAGAAAACAAGCAACAAGGCTCGAAGGTCAAGGTTGTTATTTTATCAAAATTAGTTCACGCCACCCTAGATAAAAGACATTTGATTGTGACATTGTTTAGTGGGCTAGTGTTATTTTAAGTTATGTTGTTATAAGGTTAAGAATGAGACAATGCAAGTTTCAAAACAGAGTATTCCCACACATCAAGACTGCTTGCATCTGTGTTGTGGCCTAGCCCATTATAAAAAAGTAGGTCAGCTACAAATTTTAGATCAAGATCCAAAATTATTTATACTTAGTGTTTGATTAGTGAGTTTGGTTTAGGTCCATCTCTAATGGGAATGATCCAATTAAAATTCCCCATGACAGAAGCAGCTATTAAAATTAATAGTACTGAGCTGTGATTGTAGGCAGCTTATTTTTTAAATGGCATTTAATAGCTTTTTATCAAGTAGAGCAATCTGTTACCAAATATTTTCTACATACATCTAATGGAGAAAAAAATATTGCTTCATGCCTGCAAATGCCCAGGCAAAGACAGTAGTCTCCCTCCCTCAAAATATAATGATTAAACAAATTCCATCTGAAGATCTCAAGAACTTTAAAAACATTAATCAATTATTTTCCACCAGACCCCTGTGAAAAAGTGTTATCTTCACATTAAAATAAAGAATGAAAGTACTAAACACTGAAGTGACTCGTTAAGGTCACATAGGAAATCTGTAGCAGAGGTCAGAAACAGAATTTAGACCTTCTTATTACCAGAAAAAGCTTTATCCAGAATGCTTTCCTTTCCCTTCAGCAATGTGTATTAGTGATGTTGGTGACACTCTAATAATATATATACAGACTCTTACCTTTATCAATGAAGTGCATTAAAATTTATAAGGAAGATACTTACCAGGCATTTTCGGGAAATTATAAAATATTAAATCTGTCCAACTCAAGTTCAAGAAATACAAATATTATAAAGCAGTACATTTAAAGACAGATGCCTTTGTTTAAAATTATGTATCTAAATTCCACAAGCTAGGATATCTTTTCATTTGCATTTTTGATTCCCATATTTTAGGGAAAAGAAATTAAATAGGTTAAATCTCAGTTTTTGTAACGAGAACTTATTATAAAGGACCTCCAAGAACTGCATCTAGGTTTCTTAATTAGAACAACTCAGTGTTTCTTAAACTGTGTTCCCACGAGACAGTTGGAGGTGTGCCTCGGAGAACAACAATTCAAAATCGCCACCCTTAAAGGGGCAGGAAACCTTTTTTGTTTCTCAATAACTTCCCCCCGACCCTTTTTTTTTTTTGGCTCAACAAAAAAAAATGCTTGGTGTTCCTTGGTCTTAAAAAGTTCAAGAAACCCTGGCCTAGATGTACATGCCCACCTTTTTGTTTTCATCACACAATTGGGGATTTCACCATCTACATTGAAAAAACTGGTTCTCTCAAATAAACTAAATAAAAACATTATTCTGTCTTCATTTGACTGTACATAGGAAAAATTGGTAATATTACAGTACCTGAGCAGGTTTTCCTGTGATTTCGAACGGGTGCAGCTCGTACTGTAATCAAGTACCTTGGCTCAGCATCTGGAAATAACAATTAGGTAATCAGTTTAAATTGACAATTTGTTTTTTTTAAATGGTAAGTTATTCCTGGTGAATAGTGGAATATTAATTAATATTCAACATTTTTTGTATTTTTTTCAGGCTATGGCCAAATTTACCTTCTACTTTATTCACTGATAATCCAGAAGCATTCTAGGTACTATCAGAGATGTTTATAAAAACAAGACACACCCCTAAATTTTAAAAAATTACAATCTAAGATGAGACATTACAAAACAGAGAGGAAGTAGGGAACTAGGTGATGGAATCCAAATACAACTCCCCTCTGCCATGTACATTGGACAAATTGGGATATCTTAACACAAAAGAATAAATGGATACAAACAAGACTTCAAGAATGGTAACATTCCAAAAAACAGCAGACGAGAACTTCCATCTCCCTGGACACAAAGAAACAGACTTAAAAGTTACCATTCTTGAACAGAAAAAAACCTTTAAAAACAAACTGGAGTGTGAAACTGCTGAATTTGAATTCATATGCAAACCTGACAACATCACGGTTGGTCTGAATAGGGACTGGCTATATCATTACAAAAAGTTATTTCCCCCTTTAGGTAGTTTCTTGTTCTTATCAATTGTTGGAAGTGGTTCCATATCCACCCTGACTGAATCAGGCCAGGTCTATACTTCTGGGGAAGATCAGCTTACATATGCAATTCCAGATACATAAATAATATAGCTGGAGTTGACATACCTTAAGCTAAACTTCAGCACTGATCCTACAGCAGGAGGTCAATGGGAGAAACAGTTCTGTTGATTTTGCTTATTCCTCGCAACAGCACAGAGTACAGATGCTGCCAGGGTACCCACAGCATTCAGTTTACTTTGGTCTTTACTAGAACTGTGAAATCAAAACACTGGAAGATTGACCACTGCAGCATCCATGTTCTTGTATGTGTGGAAGTGGCCTTCATCTCATTAACACTGATCTTGCTCATAGTAACGTAACACTCCCATCCATGTATGTATATAGAAATTCCTGCCATATTGAAGCTTCCACTTCATGCATCTGACAAGGTGAGCTGCAGCCCACACAAGGGTATGCCCTGATAAATCTGTTAGTCTTTAAGGTGTATGCCCTGATAAATCTGTTAGTATTTAAGGTGCCACAGGATCCCTTGATTTTGCTGAAACAGACTAACATGGCTACCTCTCTGATACATGTAACTAGTTTCTCTAATGTATTAAGCTTACCTTGTGTGTTCTGTTTTATTTTGCTTAGTAACCTACTTTGTTCTGTTTTTATGACCATTGAAATCTTACCTTTATACTTAATATAATCACTTTTGTTTATTAATAACCCCACTGTATCTTAATTAAAATAAAATGAACACAGTAAAGTTAATTTGGTTTAGCACTATCTGCATTAGGAATCTGAATCTAATTTAAGAAGATAAAATTTAAATTCATTTGAATTAACAGATGCACATTTTCAGCATATTCAAAACATCAATCATAATCAATGATGTAATGAAAATAAACTGAAACTGATGCAAAACTTAATTCATTCCACAATTTGAAACAAACCATTTTTGATGTTTGCAAATTATTATAAGAACAATTATGGCACTGATTTTACTTAAGAATCCCAAAGCTGTTTAAACCATTAGTTCATTAAACACAACAGGCCTGCAAGATAGATATTATTAATATGAAATTTTATAGGTGGGTAAACCAAGAGAGATTAAGGCCTTACATTTTCAAAAGACTATTTTTTGGTGCCCGGTTCCAGATATTAAGTGCCAAGATTTTCCACCTGTAGCTCCCACTGAAATCAACTAGAATTAAGGGTTTAGCACTTTTGAAAATCAGCCCATGGATTTCTTAAGTTGGGCAACCAAAAATGGGTGTCCACAATTAGTGGGCACTTAAATTACTTGCCTGAGAACATGCAGTGTTGTTGTAGCCATGTTGATCTCAGGTTATCAGAAAGACAAGGTGGATGAGGCAGTATCTTTTATTGGACCAACATCTGTTGGTGAGAGAGACAAGCTTGCAAGCTACATAGAGTTCTTACAAGCTCTTTTTCAGGCTCAAAAAATGTATGAAGAGTTCCTTTTCCCAGACCTGAAAGTTCTGTGTAGGTTGAAAGTTTGTTTCTCTCACTAATAGAGCTTCATCCAATACAAGATATTAGCTCACTGACTTCGCTTAAGATCACATAGTTACTGTCTGAGCAAGACAAAGAATAGCAGGTCTGAGCCCCAGGACTCAGGTAAATTCAATACAGATTATATAATAAAATATTCCCTTGGACCAAGAGTTTGCAACTTGTGTGCCTAATAGGACTACAATCATTTTTCAAGACGTAAATGAATGACGTGATTTTCAAAACTTTCTTGGAAGCTGTGGCGGAGATTAATGAAAACCAAGCTACTTTTGTAGAGGTGCCTAAAAACTGGATGTAAAGGGCACCAAAAACCTTGAAAATAATGACTTGGTTTTCTTGTTCTCCCAACTCAATCCTCTACTGGATATTCAAGTAAGTGTGAGATCACACTGCCCTCTCTTCTTGAACAAAGTGCCTTGGAACTTTTAACAATCATGAACTTCATTTTAAGTCTTGCCTTACAGTGCATTGGCTCATGAAGAGCAAATATTGCTTCTTGGAATGTAACACATGTCACATATTTTTATTAATAAAAGGCCTATTGGCTGTCTGAAAGATATTATCTAGGCTGATTAGAGCTGCCAGTTTTCCCCGGCTATTTCCTGAAGCAGCCTGAATTAATCCTGGGGGGTCCCCCACCCAAATACTGAGCAGACAAAAACCTGTTTAAATTGCTGATTAGATGAGAGCATCACATAACAGATGTGGGTTACCATAATGAAGGGTTTATTCAAAAAGCATAAGCTTCTTCCACCCACCTTCACTTTATACACCAAAGATCACAACATAATGTTTATAAACAGTTGTTGGTTTAATAATGTGTTTTTGTTCTATATCTGAAATCTGTTCTCAGAAAAAATGTGCTATGTTGGGCGTTGTTCATTGACCCTTCATGGAGGTTGGCAAGGACTCTACATGTGAAAAATAGAGCACTTCCTCATTTTCCAATGACCTCACCATTTCCCTGATAACACTATATAAAAGGAAGCACTTTTAAAAAATAAGAGGATTTTTTGGTACACTGAATCAGTTGTCAGACATTAAAGCCAAAACTACTAAACTAAATTTTATTATGTTCATTCTTATCAAGATCAGTGATTATGAAACTAGAACAATTTAAATCAGACAGTAAAGTTCATGTTGCAGTCCAGACGCAACACTAAAATCCAGGTTTAACCTGAGCTCACAAAACGTATTACAATACAGAAATATACTTGGGAGAGGTTATGAAGCAGACCCAAACATTTTACTGAATATGTTACTGATAGATGTCGATCCAACTTGCTCTTAAATATCTCCAGTGATGGAGATTCCACAACCTCCCTAGGCAATTTATTCCAGTGTTTCACCACCCTGACACTTGGGAAGTTTTTCTAACATCCAACCTAAACCTCCCTTGCTGCAATTTAAGCCCATTGCTTCTTGTCCTATCCTCAAAGGCCAAGGAAAACCATTTTTCTCCATCCTCCTTGTAACACCTTTTTAGATACTTGAAAACTGCTATCATGTCCCTTCAGTCTTCTCTTTTCAAAACGAAACAAACCCAATTCTTTCAGTCTTCCCTCACAGGTCATGTTTTCTAGACCTTTAATCATTTTTGTTGCTCTTCTCTGGGCCTTCTCCAAATCTTTCTTGAACTGTAGTGACCAGGACTGGACACAATACTTCAACTGAGGCCTAATCAGTATATTATTTATTATCATATATTGTTTATTTTAATTAATTTTTTGTATGAATGTGTAAAGAGCTAATCAGAATAGTATATAAGTTTTGTCGTCAGCATTCCCTCAAAGTTCAACGATGATGACTCATCCAATAAAATGATGGCCATTTATCACAGGTGGATCCACAGGTGACTAATGAGACCAATCCAGGATCTACAGATCTTATCTGCCAGATATTGGGCAGACAGTTCCCAGTCAAAGGGGCAGATCTAGATTATTAAATTGGGCTGTAATACATTCTTTCCTCCCTTCCCATTTCCCTGTTTCCTGTTTTTTTGCTTAGATCTCAAAATACTAGCCTCCTTTCCACAAAGTCTTTTCTATTTTGGTCAATCAAGCGATGGGGTTTCCCATGACGATGAGCAATACTGACAAATTCATGTTGGGTGTCTTGATGGGTGTGCTGGAAGTGCTTTTATAGCCCACACCTGAACTGTTGACCATGGGTCTGTTGTGAGAACATTATCCGTTTTAGGAATTGATTTTTTTGCATTTGAAGAACATGAGTAGCCCAACAAAGGTGGCAGAGGATCATGGTGTCAATGTCGGATGCTCTGGCTCAGAACAGAACACTGATATTGGTGTATCAGTCATCTCACTTGCTCTGAAGGGCTACGAAGACAGCATTGATGGTATTTTTCAAGAACCTAGAGGTGTTGACTGTACGTGACCTAGGTTTTGGCATATGAGAACAGAAATAAAAATTAGGGCTGTCAATTGACATGCATTAACTCCTGTGATTAACGCAGTCTAGAATTAACACATTAACGTTAATGCTGCTCTGCCCCTTTGAACTGCTACTGCAGCACTTAAAAGTAGCATCACAACGCAGAGCCTGGGATCAACTGGGTATTCCCCAGCCAACCCCAGGCTCCAGTACCCCTTTGAAATGCACAGAGGTGGCGTTTCAAAGGGGCACCCAACTCACAGCTGAGCCGGAGATCACCGCCTCCGCATATTTCAAAGAGGCAGTGGAGCCTGGGGTCAGCTGGGGACTCCTCAATTGATCCCGGGCTCTGTGCAGCATTTCCCCAGAACCCAGGATCAGCTGGGGACTCCCTAGCTGACCCTGGGGTTCTAGGAAAATGCTGCGCGAAGCCCAAAATCAGCTGGGAATCACCGGCTGA